TTCTCCCTCCTTTTACCTCGATATTCTGTCCAGTCTTCTGCCCATTCCTGTTCCCCTAAAGAAAGGGCATACACACATGCACACACACTCACTGTGACGGCATTCTTCATCACAAGACAATTAACAATTAATTTTACATCCACCTGCGCCAGAACAACACAGCACGAACCCTCACTTTATGTTCTAGCGACCGTCTGCCACGAGGTACGGGGGTCATTCTCGCCCCTCTGCCTCCTCAGCCGAAGGGTCAATCTCCCGTGACCGCGGCTGAAGTCACGGCCTCTCGCACCCGGCCGCATGTACGCTTTCTCACTATTGCAGTGTGTGAAGGAGCCACAAAAGGAAGGCTGGCGAAATCAACTCATCCTCGTTACCCCGCGGGCTTTGGGTGCCAAGGACTTTCGATTTTGGACGGACGAAATGCGGGGACACGTCCAATCTAGGGGGCTGGGCTATTTCCGTCGCGTCGCTCTTTCTCTCTCTCTCTCTCTCTCTCTCGTCTGTCTCTGTCTCTCTCTCTCTCTCTCTCTCTCTCTCTCTCTCTCTCTCTCTCTTCTTCTCTCTCTCACTTACTCCTTTTTACTTACTTTAATTCACTACTTACTTACTTACTAACTTACCCACTCACTCATTCTTTCATTCACTCATTCACTAAGTCACCCATCACTCGCCCTCTCTCCCTTGACTTCCCACCTTCTCTGCCTCGCCCCCTCTGTTTCCCTATCCGTCTCCCTTTCTTTACCTATTCCTTTCCCACTCTTTACCTTTTCTTCCTTTTCGTCCTCTATCTCTCCCCAGCCTCTCTCTTCCTTTTTCCACCTCTGCGTCTCCCTCTTCCTGTATTCCCCTTCCCTTTCTCTTTCCTCGCACTCTCTCACCCTCTCCCTCTCCCATTTCCTCTCCCTCCCTTTCCCCCTTCCTTATCTCTTTCCCCCTCTCCCTCTCCCATTTCCTATCCCTCTCCCTCCCTTTCCCCCTTTCTTCCCCTTCCCTATCTCTTTTCCCCCTCTCTCTCACCTTCTCCCTCCCATTTCCTCTCCCTCTCCCTTTCCCCTTTCTCCCCCATTCGCAACTGCCCCGTCCAGGTCGCCTGTGTTTCCGTAATGAGCTGTCGATCACCGCGCCCGCATTCTTCCCCCGCCCGCGAAAAGTGAACCCGTTAAATAATCCCCGATAATAGCAGCCCGCCCTCCCCCATTCTTTCTCTCCCATTTCCTCTAGTTTTTTTTCCCTTTGTCGCATTCCTCTCGCCCTTATATCCTCCTCGACCTCCTCCTGTCCGACTTCCCTTCCTCCCTCCTGGCTTTGCTACCAGTTCCCACATCCTCCTTCCCCCCCCCCTACTCCCACTCCTTTTTTCCAATCCCCTCCTCTCCCTTCCTTCTTTCTCTCTCTCTCACCTCTTCATTCCTCACCCCCTCCTCTCCTCCCATTCCTCTTCTCTCTATTTACCCCTCTCCTCTCCTCCCCCTCCTATTCCCTTACCCTTACTCCTTCTGTTCTAACCCCACCTCTGTCCCCCTTTCCCTCTCCTCCCCCTCCCATTACCCTTACCCCTTACCTTCTTTCTCCTCCCTCCCCTCTCCCCTCCCCGCCCACTTCCTGAAATCCCGGCACCTGAGTTGGCTTGCGGGAGGCGTCGGCCGGAGCCCTGGGAGGCAGAGGAGCAGCTCCGAGGTAATGATGGATGAGGCCAAGCCGGGGAGAGTGACGGGATCCGCTGCATTTTGGCGATCCGGGAATTAATAACTTTTTCTTGGCGTGAGGAGGCTGAGGCGAGATGCTGCTGCTGTGGTGTGTGTGTGTGTGTGTGTGTGTGTGTGTGTGTGTGTGTGTGTGTGTGTGTGTGTGTGTGTGTGTGTGTGTGTGTGTGTGTGTGTGTGTGTGTGTGTGTGTGCGCGCGTGCGTGCGTGTGACACGCGCGTAAATGCGTCTGAGAGTAAATGTCAACTTGCTTGTCTGCGTCTATAAGTCCGTCCGTCCATTTACAGACATGTATGTATTGTCCGAATAAAACCAAAATACCACCCGCACCCGCACTCCCTCCCGCCTCCAGCCCGACCCGAGCCGACCTAATGAGTGATCCCGCCAGTGAGCCTTGGCCGCGGGAGAGAAAGTCAGGGTCACTGCAGTGGTCAGACTTTTGTGTGTCAGAGGGATGAAGTGGCGAGGAGGTCAGGGGGAAGGAGGGGGAGGGGAACAGAGGGAGTAGAGGGAGAGAAGGAGAGGGAGGGGAAGGGGTACGAGAAGGGTGTAGCGAGGTCGGGGAAGGGAAGAGAAGAAGTGAGAGGAGAGAGGGGGGGAAGGGAAAGGAGGAGAGGGAGGGGAAGGGAAGAGAAGTAGAGGGAGGGGATGTAGGAAGGTCGGATGTAAAGGGGGGGAGGGGGTGGGGAGGACCGAAGGAGACAAGGGGGATTATCAAACACGAGAGAAAGAACCATTGTCTTCCCCAAACCCGTTCTCGTGGGAGCTTTATTAAAGGCTTGTTGCACTGATGCGC